TGCCCCCTGTCCCCCAGGAGGTTTGCCTCCTGTTAAGCACCAGCCCTACCGCCCTCACAGGCCCCCAGGCACAGTAGCCATGGCTGTGGACATCTGATTTCAGCCCATGCTGAGAGGCCAGCGGGCAGTGACTTGCCCAAGGTCACGTGGCTAGTGAGGGCAGAACCAGCAGTGACCTCGTGACAATACCTGCTCAGGGCTCACGCTGCCCCCTCTGGCAACCCAGCTTTGAACTCCCTGAGCCCTCAGGAGCCTCTAGAAAAGAAGCTGCCCTTCCCCTGTCCTCTGGCCACTATGGCAGCCCCCTCCCCTGGAATGTGCCCACTGGACACTCTGCTCAGGTGGGGGCTGTTCGCCTCTTAAACCCCCTGGCTGATGGCGGTGACACCGCTGGGTGTCTCCTCAGGCCTGCCGGGCGCCCAGCCACACCCTTCCGGGTGCCGTTCCACACCGGCAGCCCCTTGCGGACTCATCCAGCTCTGGCCTTTCAGTCCTTGGCCTCCCCAGCCGTAGGCCCTAAGCCCTTCACTTCTGCCCGCCCTCCCCACGTCAGCCACTCACTGGGTTTATCCCAGGATTCTTCCCGCCTGTGCCTCATCCTCTCTGTCCCTCCCGGCCACTGTCCATGCTCCAACCCCTCACCCTGACTCAGACCCTGGACTGCCCCTGGGGCCTCAGGCCCTTCCCTTCCCCAAGGCCGGTCATCTCGGACACCCTTCCCGAAGACACCCCAGTCCTCCATCCTGTGCTTCCCCGACTGCCCAGGGAAAGCCTCCACCCCTCGAATCCTGCTCCTGACCACCACAGTAGCCCGAGCAAAGCACACGACCAAGCACACCGGGCGGTCGTTACGGGTTATGGGTTTCAACATCATCCGGGCCTTTCACGCCCCTGGAAACCGCTTGACTTCCCGTCTGGGCCCCTTTGCCCACTCCCCGAGGCAGGTATTTCACCCGCCACCGCCCACTGCCGGAGACCTGTATTCCACTCCCAGCCCCTCCTCCGCTCTCCGCAGGCGCCCTTCCCTCCTACTCCCCAGGAGACGAGGCCAAGGGACCTGAGCCAGCGGGCTCCATTCTGCCCAGGGGGACGTGCCTCTCGCCTCCTGCCCAGGCAGAGCCCCGCCCACCTGGCCCCAGGTCCCATCTCTCCAGCAGGCAGCCCTCTCTTTCCACCTCCTAAAGCCTCAAATCTCCCCGTCCTGGGAGAGCAAACCCTTTAGCGCTGGGTCCCCTTGGAGCTGCTGTGCTGTGCGAAGCTCCCTCTCCACCATCTGGCTTCCTTGCTCCGATGACGGCAGTGATAACTCAGAAGAACATTCTCGCACTTCTTGCGATGCGGAGCCTCGTCCTCTGTTTGTCTCTGAGTCTTTTCTCTCAGTCTCCCCTCAACCCGTCATGGTCTGGGCCTTCCCGTTGGCACCAAAAATGTCCACAGCAGCCACTCCAGTGATCTCTCAAGCACCAAATTCAATGGCGGGTCTGCAGCCCTCATCCAGCCCGATGTCTCCTCTCCTTCCTCTCCTTCCGCCCGGCTCTCCGCCGTGCTGGAGCCTCCGCTGGCTCGTCCTCGGTTTGCGGCTGAGCCCCTCTCCTCGCCTGCTGTGCTCTTAAGTCTCGAAGTCAACAACCCCCCAAATAAACCTCCGCGCAGAGCCCTGCCCGCTCTCTCACTGCTCCCTGGGCATCTCCAGCTGGGTTCCCTACAGACTCTTTGAAGGCCTCGGACCCCGGCCATTCCTCTTTCCCAGGCCTGTCCCTCCTCCCAAGCATAAACGCCCAGTCTGAACTGAGACAGCGTCCTCTCTGCCTTCTTAGCTGATGGCCCTAGGACACGATTACGGACACGGCACTTCCTGACCAAAGATCTTCGGATGGTGAGTCAGGCCTTGCCCGTCCCTGCCCCCCCTGACTCCCACCCTCGTCTCCCAGTGCTCTCTGAGGCACCCACCCAGACACACTCTGCCAGCTCACACAGGCCCCCTGTGAGCTTCCCTTCACTCCCCACCCTAGCAAACCCTCCTCCTCCTCCTCCGCACGCCCGGAGCCTGCCTCATGCCTCCCTTGCTGTCACTTGACTCACTGTCCGCCGCCCCCTCATTCGGTAGGCTCTGGGGTGCTGACACGGCGGGCTCTGGGCAGACCTCCACGCCCTCCCCCGCTTCGTCCCTGGCTCCAGCTCTAGCAGAGGGCCAGGCACCCCTTTGTACAGAAGTCCTTTGTAAAGGCGACAGGACAGGCCGAGGCCTCCAAGCCCCAGCTGCTCTCTGCTCACCTGAGCTCAGGGCCGGACTCGGACCCGGAGGGCGAGAGGGTCCCCAGCGCGTCCTCCAGCTGCCGCCGCAGGACGCCCTCCTGGGCGGGGCCCTCCCTTCGCGCTGCAGCTAGCCACAGCCGGGGGCCCTCCTCGTCACTGGAGTCCCTGGAGAAGCCTCCCATCTCAGTGGCTCACGCAGGTCCCGGGGGAGGGGTGGCTGCTCCCACCGCCCCCACGGACTCCAGCCGCCCCAGCCCTGGACTCACAGCTCCAGGTCCAGGCCGCCCTGGTAGGAGAGAGGAGATGCACACACAGAGCAGGTGTTGGCCAGGAGGCCGTAGCAGGTGCAGCAGAAGAGACCTGGGGGAGGCCGGGAGGGAAGGTGAACTTGAGCTCAGCCGCCCCCCACTGCGCTCCCCGGCTTCCTCCCCCACCCCACCCTTGGGGCGACTGTCCTTGTCCTCCGGAGCACACTAAGGAATTTGCATATCGATTCTGCTCCCACGTGGGAGAATTAAGGCAAACAGGAGGTGAGCTGAGGGTCCATGTAAATGCGAACATGCATAGTAATGAAGGGGGGAACGCAAAGGTGAGGCCGGAAGGGTCCCTAAAGGAAGGAGCACAGCTGCTTGTCACAGGCAGAGGGTGAGTCCCCGCAGGGAGAGGCATGCTGCCAGGACCCGCACCTCGGCAGCCGGGGGTGCTGCAGGACACGAAGTTCTCCGTGTCCCCCTCGTCTTGGGGCTGCCCGCAGCCCAGGCAGTAGGACGGGCGCTGCCCAATGCGGCTGAGAAACGGAGCCAGGCAGACACACCTGAGGACCGGGGCCGGACACTCAGCAGGCCAGCCCGGCCGGCCGGCCCCTCGGGCTCCCCAGCACCACCCTTCAGGCCAAAGGGGGGGCCTTGCTGCCATCTAAGCTTCGTCCCTCTGCAACCTCACTCCCCACTCCCAGGCGCTCACCCCTCCTTCTCCCCCTCACTGCCAGAATGGCACGGCAGGGGACCCTCTCTCACCGGCCTCTGGACGCAAGGGAAGGTCAGAGAGCCATTCTGACCTCTGGCTCTTTTTCTGCCCCCTCTCGCCCCACTCCTCCAAAGAAGGACAGAGGGCTCACCGCCTGGCCAGCACTTGGAGGACACTCGCGTGGCCCTGGTCAGCAGCCCTCCGCCTCACCGTCCGGTGCAGAGCAGCCAGCAGGTTGGTTCGGCGGCTCAGAAGCACATTGTAGAGGTAGGAGATCCTCTCCTGGGGGGGGCAGGCCAGGGCTGGGTCCCCTCGGGCCCTCGGCACCCGTTCCCACCCCCTACCTTTGCCTTCTGCCCCACTTTCCTGAGTCCCTCTGGGCTGGGCTCAGCAATGCCCCTTCCTCCGGGAAGCCTCCTGGACTTCCCCCGGGAAGAGAGCCGTCTCCTCCTCTGGGATTCTATGGAGCTTTATTTGTTCTTTAGTCAAGACACTTGTTTACTTGCAGTGCTTCGTTGGGAGCCTGTCTGGCCTCCGGGAGAAGCTGCGTTTGCTTTGCCTGGACATCCCGAGGCCAGCATTGTGGCTGGCACACAGTAGGTGCTCGGGAGGTAATGCACAAAGGAGCAGATGCAGCTTTCCACGCAGGGTTAGCAGCGCGGAGGAGGCTGCCTCCGTCTCAGGAAGCCCTGCGAAGGAGCCCCACTTTTCCCAGCTCCGTCTGGGGCCCAGAGATCTACAGTCCAGGTGATGTGCTTTGGGGTTCAACCAGAGGAGAGGGGGTGGGGCTGCTGAAGGACTCAAAGCTCCCCCACACCGAGACAGACAGCCACGCGCTCACCCCCCTGGGGAGGGGCAGGGACTGTGGGCCACGCACCTGCTCCCGGGATGGGTAGTAGGAAGCACAGATGACACGCCGCAGCCGGCTGACGTAGCAGCCGAACAGGGTGACAACGAAGCAGAGGCCGTACATGACGCCTGGGGACACAGCAGGCACAGGAGCCGGCTGGTGGGCGCGGGGGCCAGCCACACCCCGCAGCCTGCACCCCTCGGCCCCGGGGGTGGCCTGTCGCCCAGCGCCCTCGGGCCGTGGTGGTTACCGATGGCCACGTAACCGGTGCTGTCAGGCTCCGAGGGACTCAGGAGACAGCGCCTGGACAGGACCGTGATGTTGCCGTGCTGCAGGACGTCGAAGGCCGACACCAGGTCGCGGTAGATCCTCCCAGAGTAGCCATTGCCTTCCACGGTTATGGAGACCAGCACAGGGCCTGGCACAGAGACCCACGTGAGGCACGCACGGCAGCGGCCACACCGCCCGGCACGGACAGCCACGTCTTCTGCAGGGTGGTGGCCCCGTGCCCCCGGCGAGGGGCCTTTGACGCCCCAGGCACCTGGCCCCCGGGACTGGCTCCGTGGTGCCTGGTCTGCCTGCCCAGGCCACCGGGTCTGAGCTGACCTCGACGGTCAGTGAGTCCATCCCTTGCCTCCACGACCGCCCAGGAGAACTCGTTTTCAGCATCTGCTAAGCACTGATCATGCAGCGGCCGCGGACAAGCGGCTTCGCCTTTTCTGTCGGCTCTCTGGCTTAGGTTCTCTGTACCCCGTTTGTGGCACACTCGCCATCAGCGGCCTGCTGGGCAGTCAACACGCGCGGCGTCATTTACTCCCCAGAGTGACCCAGACAGGCTGCGGCCACGATCGTCCCAACGTTCACGCGAGGAGAAGGAAGCTCGGGGGGCCTAAGCCACTCTCGTGAGGTCACTGCCTGGCACAGGGCCGAGTCGGGATTTGAACCCAGGCCAGTCTGGTAACGGGGCTAGTGATCTTAACGACTCCGTTATGGTGTCGCCTGGGCCCGGACACAGGGCTTACCAGGCAGGGAAA